TCATTCACTTTCAGCATCTTATAGAGCTCGGTGTCATCACTATAAGATTTTGATTCATGAAGAGCGTGGATTGTATAGTGAGACTCTTCTGAATCCCATTCCTCGTGAGTTACCTGAGTTAATATAGCACGTCTATGTAGTATTTCCTGAGGTGGCAGTTCGTTTTGATGGGTAGATTGAAACAAATTTGTGTCATCATTAAGGTTGAAGAGTCCTTCTGGATCTGTAGGTAGTACGATGCTACCATAATGAGCGTTGTTTTTCTTTAAGAAACTTAAGGCTGCGTGTACCTTATCCACACTAACCAACATTTGCCAAACATTCTTTGCTTTGGTTGGTACCCCTCTGACCAAAACGTACAGCTCGTGGTTTGGATTCAGAGGGTCACTTGGTTTGGGCAATTTTTGCAGGGTTTCTTGAAGGGGTAGTGGCAAATGAAAACTTCTTCCCACAACTTGGGAAATTTGTTGCTGAGCTCGACTTGTTCTTTTTCCAACTGTGTTCATTTTTGTAACAACCTGAAATGCTTTGGCTCTCTGAATTAAGACTTTTTCATAACTGTTAAGGCAAGTTAGCTCTTTCGGCTGCGCACAAACATAGAGATCGTTAAGAATGCAAGTAGGAGGCATCTGACCTTTCCTTAGTTTTTCAAGGCAGCCTCGACAAATCCATCCCGTTTTGCACTCTTCTTTCTTTATGTCTTTTATTCTTTGCCATATGTGTCCTACAATTTGATTTTTTAGGTTTTTCAACAGGCTTACTTGCTGTTTACTGAACAACTTATCGCATGAGACACAGGGAAACACTGGCGTTTCAGAAGAACGCTTCTCCAATGCCTCAAATGCTTTGTGATATTTTGCAAACAACTGAGACTCAGATTCAGGGACCTTGCTTTCACTTGTGTCATCTGTAAGAAAGGCTTTTGTTTGCTCTTTAAATTCCCTTTCTATCGAAAACAACACGTTCGCCTGCACGTTAAGAATGCCATTTTTAATTAGCATAATCTTCTTAGCTATTTTCAACAGTCGGTAAATTTTGGAGACAAGACTACGAATTGCAGGAAAGTGAGGATAGATTGTTCTCAGAAAAGGAAGTTTCGAAACACATGCTCCTGAGTAACAGTCCAAAGAGTGAGGATGAACACCTACACGAGATGATACACCACTTTGACATGAGTGCTCTCCCATGCTGACAATAAGCTTAGAACCTTTAGTGAGAGAGCTTGAAACTATTTCATTGTAAAGAGATTTAAGTTGCTCTAAGTGGTCAGGCTCAATGAAGCATATATCTGAGTTGCATTTCCACTTTTTCTTTGGTGAACTATGAGCTGTGCTGGGCTCGTTACCAACAGTTATTTGTTTACCAGGAAACACTCTATAGGTAAACTCCCAGAAATAAGGCTCCGACGTGGAAACATGAAGACTGTGCCCACACAACGCATCAACATTGTCCTCAAACGTGCTTGTTGCAGATAGCTTAGCAAGAGACTCTTTAGCACGATTTTGCAGGCTAACAAATACCTTAAGGAAATTGTTTTTGTAATTTTTATAAGCATGCAACACCCATTTCAAGAGCTCTTTAGCCCTTAGCAACCTTTTAGTATAACCTTGTTCAGGTATTTTCTTTGCTATAAGTCTGGCTATTTTCTCACAATTTATTTTCCCCAAGAAAATATGTGAAGCTGCAACACTTTTTTTGGTTTTCCTTTTTGCATTTTTTACTGATTTTCTTTTCCCATCAGATCTATTTAAAAAGCGTCGGCTTTGATAGGCTGCACACTTTTGCACCCTTTCGTGAAAAACCTTAAGTTTATATCGCAAGCGAAAGTGGCCAGGGTATTTAGCACGAAGTACTTTGTAACGTCTCTCGCGATTAGATTGTTTCATTTCTTGTTTTGCACCGTAGTTTAAACGTTTTTTAGCTTTATAATATTCTGGATCAGTAGAGTATTTCTGACGCATTCTAGCCTTGTGTGGCTCAGGATTAGCAGAATATTGTTGCCGCAACCTAGCTCTGCGAGGTTCATGATTAGCACTGTGTACTGCACACGTTTTCTTAACCTCTCAGTTTCAATATTAGCTAGATAACGTTTTCTCGCTTTGGATTTTTCTCCTTTAGCATGTTCAAGGTACCAAGCTTTAAAAGTAGAACTCTTATTAGTGGATTGTATGCTAGCTTCTTCTGTTTTTCTTTTTTTTATAGCAGGGGCGTTATCTAAATACCATTCTTGTTTTCTTTTTCTTGCCAGTCTTTCTTTAGAAGGCATACTGATGATAGATTAGATTGATAGATGGATTAGAAAGAAAGTTTAATGCAATTAAAACATAGCCATGGTATCTTACCAAATGGTCCTAAGAAATGTTCTCAATGTTCTTAAACTAGATCTCTTCACTACACATAAACAATGCTGCTCTTTTTGTAAACATGAAAAAGACAACAAACACGTTTTATTTACAGCTGTTAAAATTATTAATACAATGTTAAAAGACTTAGTTAAATAATTTAGCTAGTATCTTAGTATATAATTATATAGAAACATATGTATAAAATGTGATTGCATCTGGTGGCCTACTTAGCACCAATTTATAGTTGACTTAAAATTCGGGCAGATGAATATATTTTATTCTTTGTACTTTATATTTCATTGCTAAGATTTAATTATGATTTAAATGCTTATTGTTGTGAGTTCAATTGTAAATAAAGGTGTTGAAAGTAATAGCCCTCTGTTTTAACGTTTTTAAAGCTTTTACCAACTTAAATAGAATTCAACCTAATATTGAAGTGAATTCCAACATTACTGGCAATGCGTTGGTGTTACATAAGTGTTCTGATAATTAAACCCGTATATCTAAAGACTAGTGTAAATTGAGCCCTTGGGTGACTTTCTACAGCCAGTTTTAACGTCTAGAACTGTGTGCAAAACCTCCCATTTCCCCATTTTTATTTGTCATGAATAAGTAGACATTTTAATACTAACTATGACGATTGCATTCATAAAATCTCAAAACATATTGTAGGCTACGGCAATATTGTCCTAAAAGCTGTTTACTGACTTTCTAAAGCCATATTAATGTATATAATTGTGTCCAACTAACTAACATTCAATTGCGTAATATTGTTTTATTTGCTGTGCTATTGTCCACAAAGTTGATCTATGTGGAACTTAATACTACTCCTGCTATCGCTTATTAAGTTTAATAAAATCTACATTGATGTGTGTTTAAGACATTGCGTGTTTTAAGGACGAAATGTACGTTTAAATTTATTTTTCCAGGGTCCAAGGAGGGGGGCTTTAGCCCCTGTAGCCCCCCCCCCCTTGGAACCATCACGGGGGGAATATCTCTGCTCTAAGTAATTTTATATAGTAAGTAGTTCAAGTCATTCGGTATACCTGAAAAAAATACTTTATAAAAGTTTTAAAATAATTATCAGCTGTTCCTATAAATTTCTCTAACATTTAAATTTATTGATATTTAATCGCAGCTGGTCCTTCTTTTTATTTTGATTTGTTTTGATTTTAATCCCATGTTATTTAAATGGGCCAAAATCGTACTTTGAGGGCTTGCCAAGGGTTTATGGGTCAACGTACCGACTTGAGACCCTCAAAAGGCACATCTACACGCTAAGGGCTTTCACACAACATAAAGAACATTAACATTGAGTAAGTGGTTTGGGCTGTAGGTCCGTCAACATTTAAGGAGAAGAAGGAGAACACGGAAAATTTGTGAATTTTCAAACTAGTTTTTTCTTTGCTCAAACACAACCGTTTTTTAAATTCTTTTTTTTATTTTGTTGAGAATGATTGCCCCTATCCAGTAGATGAACAATTATTTTAATAGCTTTTGTTTCTTCAGAGCTATAGACGAGTAAAAAAGCCACTTTGTCACGTCATGTATATATACACTGCAGCAGCTGTGTACCGCTGGGGGACTTGGCGGGGCGGAACGCTGCCGCGTTCCTTAATATTGTGGATATGTTGCATGACAATTAATACAAAGACGCACAATTTCAATTTATGATTTCTTTTAATGAGTAACAGAGATGGTTAGATTAATGAGTTTCTTATTTAATATGAATAAATCAATAAGCATAAATCTGAGCATTTACAACTTGACGTTCGGAATATGTAACTCTACATTATACGTTCTACACTCCGACAAAATATACCTGATATTTTGGTATAAATAAGACTATGTGAGTGAATTCAGGGCGTTTGTAAACCCCTTACTTAATCTTAGATTCGTCTACTTTTTTAAATAAAAGTTTAAATACCTGAAGTACTATCGGTGATCCGGTATTCAGTCAGCAACCAAGGTCTCGAATCTAAAGGTTCATTTTCAAGCTGTCACCAAGTTAGGAAAATCCTCTCCATCACTGAGGTTGAAAAAAGTTATTAAATCCACATCATTTACACGAACACGAAAACATTAAACACAAATTGGCCAAGTTATAATACTGAAACGGTCACGTGGTGTACTGGTGTAGCCTTTAGAAGATGAGTCACGAGTACTACAGGTTTTAACCTTTTATTTGTAAAAAAATTTGATCTAGAGGCTAACATGTTTACTTTTTTCGACGTAACATTTATAAATTTAACTTCCCTTTTTGTTTGTTCCAAGGTTGCTGTTGCTTGCATTTAAAGTTGTATATTTGTGAAGTAGCTCTTTTGTCAGCGACTTCATTTTTTCTAAAACTTCTCTTTTGATACAAATAACACGTTTGGTAGCACCCTGGCAGTATTGCGTCTGTCTTTGTCTCTTTTATCCCCTTAACTCTCAAATATAGACAAGCGAGAGTAACTTTACTTCAAGGGAGGCATGGGACTCGCAATATATAGAAAGGGTATTAGAGAAATAAGGCTTCAACAACCCCAGTTGGCTCATCCCGTTGTTTGGGAAAGCAATGGAAGGGCTTGACAAAATCCTCCTCCATGCGGCACTCCTGAAAATACTGTATACTCAAGACAGGGACAGAAATAAAAATCAAATTTAATTGGTTAAACACAATTTAATGCCATAGTTTCCACACTAAGCTACGATTACGTTTATCCGCGATAATTTGAAACTATGTTCGTTGTTTTGGCCAAAAGTGGAAAACGTATCCCAAAACTAAACTGCATTTTCTTTTCCGGTTGGTTATCTGTAAACATATATTTAGGTTTTTATTTTATTCATATCTTTCGTTCATATTTAGTAACATTTATACTAGACCTATTTCATACTCTTTCATTGCATACGAATAAATTAGACATGAAATTAAAGTACGAGCGACAAGTAGATACCACTGCCAGTCAACAGGAACTGCCAGATTCAAGGCCCCAATGAACAAACACAACACTGTTGAGAACTTTTAACCTGATGCTAAACTGATGATCGAAGTAGTCAATCAAAGCATTGAGCGCCGAATGGATCAATTATGATTGTACATTGTAGTACAATGATTTACGGTAATGCACCTGTTAATTTACATCTTTGTATATTTAGAAGTGTTATTGTTTTTTATACTATACAGTTTTAGAGCGGTGTTTGCTTAGGTGTCTGGCTACCATTGATGTTATTCGCCGCAATGGCCTGATGGTCCAACGCTGTTTTTACGGTGGCAGTGATGAAGATGAAGTTGAGGAAATCTCAACTATTTTGCTAAAGTAGAGTTATGTGTACGATAGTTTAAGTTACTTACCGAATGATGGAAAGGAGGTCTGGGTCCCAACATTCTTGGCACCGTTGGCTCCGTAGAAACACTGAAAAATTAGAAAGTCTAAACTATATACAATTTTAAGTTTCGGCATGTACGAAAGTACTCATTGTAAATTTCCTATTCTGTATACCCTGTCTGTAATAGAGGTGCATCACGAGTGCAGTTTTATGCCGTTTTGGTACTGTTCAAGTATTTTTTTATATATCATTTATCCAGGGGTGGTTTCTCTCTCTCATGTTGAAGCACCCCTGACGGTTATAATAATATGACATCAGTAATCATGCTACAGAAAACAACTAACAAAGCAACACTTTTGTGCGATACATTTTTTTGTATCTTCATCTAAATTATGGTGCCTTAAAAAAATATCATGCATTTATAGTTTCTGGGAAAATAGTATGCTTGCTTTTGCTGACGATGTGGTGATTTTAACAAAGAACATAAATGGTTTAGTGACCCTAAAAAAATCCGATAAAATAAGCTAACACAATGTCGGACTAAAAAAACTACCGAAATGAAACAAAATACATGAAGGTTGGAAGACCAGATAAACAAATAAATAGATAACAGAGAACCTTAAAGTTTAGAGTTTTGAGTACAACACAATTAAGGAGAGTGAAACCCAAAATAATTTACTTTTGGCTTAATTAGAAATTTTACACTAATAATTAGAGTATTTATGGTTTTAATACTATTTGAGTTAGCAGTATTACGGAGTGTTTAGGAAATTTGTAAATCAGTACACATAAATCAGTGACACAATAACAATAATGAGTAGATAGAAATTACGTCAAATTTACCACAAGCTATTACGTTGACAGTAAAAAGTGTTCCTAATTCACTTTGAATCTACTACAACCAAGACATGTTTCTGGTCTTTTTCAGAAGAGGGAGGGCCGCCACTATTTAAACTTTGGAAACCCCACAGTTTAAGTTAGGTTAGTTTAGAGCTTTACTCAAACATTTTATTTTATTTACTGAACAGAAATAATCACAAAAAAATATAAAAAAATCACCTAACCTAAACTGTGGGGTTTCCAAAGTTCAAATAGAACGTCCCCTTCTGAAAAATACCTTTTTTTTCTCTATCTAAATGTAGGGATGGAAGACTTACCAAGATCAAAATGACAGAAAGAACTAGAACCAAACGAATCATTTGTGGACCCAAGGCTTGTACAGGAGTAACTAAATGTTTTAAAAGTTCAGTTGTACGTTTTTTACTTAATTTCGCTCACTTATGTATAATTTTCGTATTGGCTGCTAGAGGCAGTCAATCAAACACTGTTAATTACTGTTCCACATGTGTAAGCAACATGACAGTTTAAACTGCCTGACTATCTACTTTTCGCATTGCAAAATATATTTTTTTTTCACTAATATTTTACTAATAAAACTTACAAAAAGTAAATAAAACACAACACTCTTGTAACATTTAAGTGTAGATATGTGTTTCAAGAGTGATAGATGTATGAGGTTTCACGCAAATTCAGCTAACTCCATACAATACGTGGCAGATGAATTCGATGAAAACAATATTTCCTGCTCTTTCATCGGCAACAGGTGGCTCAAGAAGTTTTGCTGAATCTTGAGCTTCTTGTTTATGACATTTATTCATGTCAAAGTCTCTTTCATCATAAGGCAAAAGGAGATGATGTTGAAATTATTTATCTGGTAGAAGGAGTTAATATTACTGATAACTTATCCCTATTCCTTAAAGAAAAACCTTCAGGTCATATTTATATCTTATCAGTAAACTGCCACCTTTGATTGTAAACCATATACAAATTGTTTCAGTGGGAGGCGGATTATTTTTTTTAATTTGATAAAAATATAATTTTAACTTGTCCAAAAACATACACATTCTTACTTACACGTTCGAAGGGTGTCTACAACTTTCTCACTGTGCAGTTTCGATTCCTTCCCTTACCACTTCGGCCATCATTCTGTAATTCTGTCCTAATTGATTAACGTCTGTGAAATCTTGCTATGAGGTTGCTGTCAAACATGAAATTTATTGAAATGCGAATGAGGATCCATTTTCTCGCCATATTGATCAAAATTGGTTATACACGTATAATCTCTGCTATTTTGTGTATAAAGTAGGCCAACTGTAGTGAAACTGGCCATTGATCTTGAGCAGTTTAATTTTTATTTCAGGATTAGTTTTGCCAACAGTGTTATTTGGAGGCTTCTGATTGGCTGAGGGAACACCATTACTGCAACGATACGGTGTAACGACATCGGCCTCGGGGGTCTAGTGGGTAGCGTGCCGGGCTGAAAATCTGTAGGTACTAGGTTCGAATCAAGAAGCAACCAAATGACACTGCTGGCAAAATAAATCCTGAAATAAAAATTGTGCTCACAGTGGATGTAGCTTATTGGAGGTCAGTCAAAGTGCTATGCTAGCATTAAAGAGGAGTGCTAACATCGCCTATTTACGTTACGTAATTTTAAAAAAACTCAGTATCTGGTAAATTTTTAGAAAAAAAGATTATAAAATTGGCAAGCCCTTTAAACTGAATCAACCATAGTTACACGCAAGTCAAAACTCGTCTTTCGCGATCATTTTTCCCTCAACCTAAATTCTCAATTGCAATCTTCCAGCTGATTTCCCAACTCGACACTCGATCTGACCAGCTGTTAACGTGAAAGTCTGTGCATTCCAAGGTCGTCAGGTCATTGTCGATAAGCCGACTGGACGTTCATGACATAAACATAACCTCGATTTTACCAGTAAACAAATATTAGCGTCTAGATGCTAGTGTTATTGGAAATGTATTTGCAATCTTTTTGATTGGATATGATGTTAATACATTTCTCAATGGTATTGTACTGTATTGAGCTGTCACAGTAAACTTGCGATAAAATTTGTATAGTATGTTTACTTGCATTATTGATTGTGAATTTCACCACTGTAATCCAAGTAATAATATTGACCGTCAGCTATTAATTTATACTTATGATATTTAATGCTATTACTCTACAAATATTGATAGTAATGGCAGTTTTTCTACCGTACTTGGAAGACTAGGATTTACAAAAAAAAAAAAACATTATTAAAACGTGGAAGCGTAAAATAAAATTTCGTCAATTTCAAACTATAAACTGCGTACCCTAAACTAATATTTTGTAGACTACATGTATTTTCACATTTAATTTTTGTATTGTAGTAGACCAATCCATAACTTATTTCGTACCTCAAAGCCTACATTCTTGGGTTAGCTGTCAGTTAGTTTAGTCTATAACAAATCTACAGAAGATATGTTTACTATCCCCTGTTAGTTCCCTGATTTGCCACAGGAAGGATCAGCTGTTTCACTGTACGTACACTTAATCCTCTTTAAGATTTGGGGGATATTAAAAAAAAAGTCCACTATTAAAAGTTTGCCCTGTGCAAGCAAGCTAGGTTAAGTTAGACTAGGACAGGTTTAGGTTAGTTTACATCAACTAAATTTACATATGAAAAAATTAATCAGTGGTGGCCATCTCCTTAAAAAAGGTCGGAGATATGTACTGCAGCTTATAACAAAATTCTACTAGGCTAGTACCAATCTACCTTCCTGAGTCTTCCAACTACAGAGCGACAAGGCGATTGACACATATGTAATCAGCTGTTTCATTGTTGACGCAAACCAATCAGATTAATTCAGTCTCCGCATGATCTCCTAAAATAGCTGTACTTCAGGGTGACTAAAACTATCTCTCTCTCTTTTGCGGTGGGTGTGGTCGACCTCCTCTATGGACGACTGGCCGGGTGACCGAGGGGGCGACGTCCGCTCACGTAAGGCCAGGGTCACCGAGGACCAAGGCCGAGGAAAGTGATGAGGCAACTCACACCTAGGCTTCCTCGGTTGCATCACAAAGAATTGCGTAACACGAGCTTCCTGGCGTGACATAGTGCATGGTGTGAGTAGATACGAGATGGAGGTGCATGAAAGAGGAAACTAAAGATAGCGATGAGTAAATGTACTGAGTGGTGGAAAGGAGGAATAGATGTGTGAAAAAGAAATGAGTTGAAAAAGTGCTTACAATTTGAATTTATTTTCTAGTAAATTCTTTCCGTTATCACACCCCATAGTAAAAAGGTTTAATTTTGAAAGGTGTTACATTATAAATGGATCAGTAGTCATTAGTGTGATTTAAAGCTAGACTAGACTTAGGATGGAAAATTAACATAATATATTCCAAGGCCTGTCAACGAACCCGGTGACTTAATCGAACTTGATCGTCTAAAATTAGACAAGTTTATTGACTGCAGGAACCGATACAGTTGTGCTTTTTTTGTAATTCTACTCCCTAACTGATCCCAGCTTACAAGCATATTCACTCTAGACTATTAAGACACTGAAACCGTTTTGAATAGTTTCAGATAAAAGTCTTGTTTTGAATTAATGAGGTTCCTGACAGAAGATAGAAACTTGTAAATGCAGATTCACCTACTTACCTTGGAGACGATAAGGTCATTGGCCCAATACTAGTTTTATTTTTAGTTCAACTGATAGTTTGAAAACATTTACTGGGGGGGGGGGGGGGATTAAAATTAGTATTATAACGAGAGCTCGCCCTGTGGTCGAAAACTCGACCAAAAGTATATATTGAGCAAACTTCTCTATTTTCAACCCACTCTGTAAATAAAACATGTGATTGGAATGTCTTTAATTTTTTTTATTTTCTGTTTGTATTTTGATGTTATTTCGTCACCAACATAGCAACCCATAAGGACCATGTTAATTTTAAAAAGATTTAAAATTATTGTGTGTGCTTATTTTTGAGCCTATTTTAATTTATAAAGGGATTCTGCACATCTACAGGAAAATATCTTTCATTTGGTACCAACCGCATGTAATTCGGTCCATTAATATGGTCAGGCTAGCTGTCATAAGTTTTGCAAACGTTTTTTTAGTATAAAAGATGGGGTTTTCAGCTGTTAGATATGCTGTGTGGTTAGTAATCGTTTAGCAACAGTATGAACAATCCAGTTCTTAAGATATGAGAGTTTATATAAACCATTTTAAAGTGAGTCCAAATTCGATGGCATTTGGTAATTAGTCAATGGTAAATGTGACAAAGACAACAATGTTGTAAAGCATAAAATTGTGGTTCAGTAGGAAAATACAGCTTGTGCTTAATCTAAATAAACAACCAGATTTACACTTTTACATGGGTTAGAAACGAAGGAGGAACAGAACGAGCCTGGTCGACAACTTTTAGTTGAGAACTTCCATCCATAGAGTCCCAGGCTAAAATCTTACCAAGCACTAATGACTTAGCTTTTTCATAATTCCGCAATCCGATAGTTTAGAGCAATCTTTTTTCGTTTTTTGTAACACTCTGTACAAGTAGGTTCTCATTGCACAGTAGTCCTATCAACGTTGGCAAATAAATCTAGAATTAAATCTCTTTTGATTTTACCTGAAGTGAAAATTCCCTACATGGGCTATAAGAGGAAACATTATGCCACAGCACATATTTAGTTTCGCTTGAGATGCCAGAAATCGTGATTTAACGAAGGCGAAAGTGATAATAGCACAGTTTGTACCATGCGTCTCACGTTGCTGTCAATCAAATTGGTTAAAATGGTGGACTAAATATTCCTGCAGAAACATGATTTTTTTGGAAACTTTCGTAAATAACTCTAGTGCTTTCCTCATGGATAAAATATATTAGTTTATATGTTTTCAGTTTACAGTATTGGTCGGCGATTGCTATCCAGATTTGAAATTACGTAGGTAATGATTCTACAGTACAACCAGAACTGTCAATAATAATGCTGGATTGCAGGTATTATACAGATTGTTGAATAATACAATTGTTTCTAGAAAATAATACATCTAAATCCATTGCAAAGCATAATGAAATCGCAATAAACCAACAAATTGGCTGGTGGGGCCGGGAAACTAGCTAATATATTTTACTGACTCATTAATGCACTGGTATTCATTGACCAACTGTAAATTGTATCGTCAAACATTTTCTGCTAGCCGATATCGATAGGTTCAAGTTGTTTAAACTCTTCGATGCTATTTACCTGAATTGCTCAAAAAATGGCAATGCAGTCTTAACTTTTAGTCTTTAAATAAAGACTAAAATCTAATAAAAATGGTATTTTGGAGGAGACGATGTTAGAGTCTGTAACAAAAATTGTATCTGGACGTGTTCCTGAACAGTGGTGACAAAACAACTTCAGCCCACTGAACTTACACTAATTTTCTCCCAGCGATGTCAGCTGCCCAAAAAAAGCTGGCAATGCAGTCTTACCTTTTAGTCATTCAATTTTGGTACGA